AGATCTGATCCAGTGCCTTCCCTAAACCCATCCAGATCCTCAGCAGAACTTCTGGACTTGGTGGGTGGGAGAGGCCAGGGAGCTTTGAAGCCTCTGCTCTTAGATTAATTGCAGGGAAGCAAGTAACATACATGGATGAAGTGTGGCTGGAAAAAGCTAATAAGTGCCAATGATCCCAAGCCTTAGCATCTGGACACAAGGAGTGGTGGGGGCTATGGAAAATATAAGAGCTCAGGTCTCATCTGAAATAGGAAGTTCCTGTTCTCTTCTTCCCACCAAGCCCAGTATTCAGCCAACTGCTTTCACAGACAAATCCAGGTCCATTTGGTAGGGGTTGTCTGAAATTGCATGTGGAAGTTTGTGATTTTAATTGTTGCAATTAGTCTAAATTTAAATAAATTACCATGGGGACAAACAACCAAAACAAATCATAAACAGGCTGCATTTTGCCATCTCTGATTTATAAAGCTTCCAAATTAGGGTGCACTGCTCTGCTGGTTTAATTAAGTACAATCAGGAATTGACTTTTTGCACCTTCACTGAAATTAACACATCTTCTTTCTCCAAGGAACCTGAACTGGGGCCAGGTGGGTAAAGTATCATCATTTTCAAGTTCACTTACAGCCATTCCTTATTGTAAAAGATCCTGATACTGGGAAAGGTTGAAGGCAAAAGAAGAGGGTGGTAAAAGATGAGATGGTTGGATAGCATCACGAATTCAATGGACATGAACTTGGGCAAACTCCAGGAGATAGTGGCACGCTGCTGTCTGTGGGAGGGCAAAGAGTCAGACACGACTTAGTAACTGAACAACAACAAAAACATCAGTGAACTGTGCCTTCCTCCAGCCCTGCTGTTCTTCCAGTTTTCTTACCTGTGAATCTGTCACTCAAAGAGCTATGTGTCATCTGTCTGGGGTGACCAAACTCTCTGGTTAGCATCTTGGCTTAACACCGTTAGATGTACTAGGCCAACTAAGAGATGAAATGTTTGCCATTTCATCACTGAAAATGACTAATAGACCCTTTCAGAGAGATACTCTCACAGATGTAAAAATGGAAGGAAATTTGGTTCAGACGAGTATCAAGAGATTGGAAAATGATGGAGAAGCAACTTAAAACGCACAGTCTCCCACCCATTGCTGTGATTGGCTGTGAGCACAGTTAAGGTTACAGCCTTTTCCTTTGTGGTCCTGTGAGCAGCATTTCTCTCGTCTCCTGGTCCTGAAAGGCTTTCACACTGAGGCTAGTTCATCACCTGAGGAGCATCTGTCTATAGAGAAAATAGCTCCTGATAATGAAGCTAGTTGGTTATAAGGCGCTTGAGCATCTTTTTACTGTAAGAGCTATAAGATATGATCTTTACTGTCTGATCTTTCATTTGCTTATTGCTTTACTTCTTATGGCACACATGCCCCTTCCATCCTCAACTCTCAACCTATCCTAAAACATAAACTCTCTCAGCCAGCACACCTAACTGTCTTGTCCACTGTACTGTATCCTTCATGCCTAGAACAGTAACTGGCACATGAAAGGTGCTCAGTAAATATTGGCTGAATATTGTGAACTGGCTTCCCTGATGGCTCAGATGGTAAAGAATCTGCCTGCAATGCAGGACACCCAGGTTCGATCCCTGGGTTGGGAAGATCGCCTGGAGAAGGAAATGGATACCCACTCCAGTATTCTTGCCTGGAGAATTCCATAGACAGAGGAGCCTGGCAGGCTACAGTTCATGAAGTCCCAGAGTCAGACGTGACCTGAGCAACTCACACATTTTAAGAATCTCACATATATAAGTTGGCTCTGGACTGCTTTTACATCAAGGCAGGGCAGAGCTAGATATGCCCCAGTGATACTCCTTCGGCACTGAGATTCTGTCTCAGTGTTGAGAATCCCATAGGCCACTGTCAGCCTGAGCCAACAGCTGCTCTGTGGAGGGGAGAAAATGAAGATACTAGGCAGATGGGGAGGGGGGAGTGGGAAGATGGGTGAGCAGCAAGAGAATCTCAGAAGATGAACGGAGGGAGTGCTAATGGGCTATGACAAAGTGGGAGGGTGGGAGGATCATGGCCACGGTGATGCCTTTTTCCCCAGGACAAACGGGGCAGTGATGCATAGCACCAGGCGGTCTTTGATTCGGCCAAAGGAGCAGTCATTGCAGCAGGGTGTGGATGCCCTGAGAAAAGAGGACTCAATCTGGCATCTGAGTTAAAATCTGGAAACAGTCTCCCAAAAGCAGAGCTGTGGTTGGGCCTCCAGGTCTGTTGGGGGTTTGCTGACATTCAAACGCTGACTGAGGACAGCGGCAGAGAGGACAGGTCTTTTTTTAAAAAACTTCCCAAAGTGAAATCTATCTAGAAACACTTGATCATGGAACAAAGGAATTATTTTTATGGGTTTTATTTAAGTTTATCTATTTTTGCTATTTCCTTTTTTTAATTAAAGGATAATTGCTTTACAGAATTTTGTGGTTCTCTGTCAAACAGCCACAAGAATCAGCCATAGGTACAGCCATATCTCTCTCCCCAATCCACCCCTCTAGTTTGTTACAGAGCCCCCAGTTTGAGTTCCCCATACAGCAAATTCCCATTGGCTATCTATTTTACATATGGTAGTGTAAGTTTCCATCTTACTCTCTAGAACAGGTCCTTTTTAAAAAAAGATCTCTCAAAAAGATTCCACATCTCCCTAAATCATACGCTATCTTTGGACTGTGAAAAAGAGCTTTCTGTCTGCTCATAGTGCAACTTCCTTGAGCCTGCAAAATGGCTTCTGGTCATCCTCAGCAAGCAAAACTGGCTTGAAGCCTGTCCAGCCAGTCACATTTTCACTGGAGGACCGCAGAATGCCTCTCTGAGGCCACCGAGCCACCATACATACACAGGCTGCAGAACAGCCAGGTCCATGCGGAACCTCCCTGGCGGAGCTCCGTAAATCCACAAGTCCAGACCAGGTCACAGACCACATTGAATCACATCTTCAATCAAAGTATCATTGAAAGAAATTTAAAGTGCTCCTTCCTCCCGAGAAAGAAGGCCTCAAATTTTCTGGAATAAGAAACCTCTCAGAACTGAGAGGTGACCAGTAGAAGTGATCCCTTCATAAACTAATTAGCAAATGAGAAGGGGAAGAGGTATCTTCCCTTTTTTAAGGAGCATAGCTTGGAATCTGTCAGCAACAAAGACAGGGAATAAATTCTTCTCAAAAGGGGTCAGAGGAGGGCAGGGGGATGGAGGAAGAGGGAGGAAGCCATGTCTGATTCCACTCTCAACCAGATCCATTTCCAATTCACTCTGAATAATTCGGTGATGGACCCAACAAAAGAATGATGGCATTTGTTTGCTTTTACATTACTTTAATAACTTGCAGGGGGAAATACAGTGTTCTTGTTAGGGGTACCACTGACTGAAACTGCCCACCCTGGCTAGGCACAATAGTAACCATTTGCATGAGTTACAACAGGAGGTCCTGGTAAGGAACATGGAACTAACAAGCTACTGCCCACCAGAAAAATCTGGGAAAGGTCAAAAGGAGAGAGGAGATGCCAGTCAACATGTCTTAGCCAACCTCCCAGATTCCTTCTTGCTGGAATCCATCTTGGCTGAGTGATGCACAAGTCACCAGGAAGGACCCTGAACCAGAATGACTGGCCGGAGACAACCCAGAAACTAACCCCGTTACCATAAAACCTAAGACTAAGGGCCATTTGGCAGAGCAGTTCTCCTGGGTTCCCTTACCCTGCAGCTACCCCCACCCCCACGCCCGGATGTCCCCTACCAATAAAGTCTCTTGCTTTGTCAGCATGCGTGTCTCCTTGGACAATACCTTTTGTGGGTGTTAGACAAGAGTCCACTCTCAAGCCCTGGAGGGTCCTACTTCCTACAGACTTAGAAACAGCATCCTGCATGGAAGATTAGGATCACAGCACCTGTCATAGTCCCTAGATCTGCCACTTTCTTAGGCAAAGTCTCCTGAGGCTAGTGTAGTTGCACTCTGGTGGGTAGACAGAACAAAGCAAGATGGAGAATTTGAATAGCGAATCACTGTTAATGGGTACCAAAACGCGGATGAGAAGTCTCCCCCATCCTCAATAGGCGGGCTCGCCTGCATAAGAAATGAACTAGAGGGTAGGATCTCAAACACACACCTACAGACACCTTCTTGCAGGAAGCATACACCTTTCAAAAAAAAAAAAAAAATCTTTTGGACTCATCAATTTTATGCAGCCCAGCTGAAATGGATCAAACCTCAAAGCAAACCTCAAAGAGTCCTTCTTCCCTTCATTCCTGGGTGAGGAGAGGTCGATAAGGTGGTGGTGGGGTTGTGTCTTTTAAAAATCATTTATTATCTTGGTCTCCGGATAATTACAAGTGTATTCCGCCCCCTCCCTCTTTTGTTCCCATCCCTTCCGGAGGATGAAGCAGGATTTTCTCCCTCTCGGCTAAGGCTGCCCCTTTCCTTTCCAGGCAGCTGCACAAAGCAGCTGGAGCCAGAGCATCGCTCTCGACACCACGCCCTCCGCGGGAGGGCGGAGCAAGGCTCCCGAGCTGTAGCCTCTTTTCCCAGACGCACCCGAGATTTAATTTTAATTAAAACCGTGAGAGGTATACCACTGAGGATTAAGTTTTTCAAAATAGACCACAGCGCCACTTTTTGTCTTCTTCCCTTCCCCAACAGCATCGAAATAAAACACACACACAAAGAACAAGGAGTCTCACCTACACGTGCTGGGGACCCAGGCAGGCGGAGAGCGCTGAGCGCCGGGATGCAGCCGCTGGGGAACGCTTCTGCCCTGGAGGGACTGAAGGCCGCTGCAACAGGCGTGCCAGGTTGGGGATCGGGGTGGGGCGGGGTGACGGAGAGGGGCGGGGCAACGGAGAGAGGGCGGGGCGACGCGGGCCAACGAGCGTGGTCGGGGCGGGGCCCTGGAGGTCACGTGGGCGTGACCTCGGTGGCTTACTTAGCTTGCCCTGCTCTTCCTCGCTGAAACGCGTTACGGTCATGAATTCTGGGGTTAAGGGCGAGAGTTGCTTAGCAGCAGGCTTGCTGCAGCACCAGGTGGCCATCGTCACCGGTGGGGGCACGGGCATCGGGAAGGCCATCGTGAACGAGCTCCTGCATCTGGGTGCGTGAGCAGGTCCCTGAGCTAGGGAATCCATAAGGAGGGGTCCTCAGAGGCTTGTTTAACCTGGGGCGGGGGCGGTTCGGGAGCCAGCGGGTGGTACGCGGCCTTAGGAGAGCGTGGAGTTGCAAAGCAAGGAAGTGTAGCTGTGGGTGAAATTAGAATCGCGAGCGAGAGTGGGGAGAGGAGAGTTCTTTCTAAAAAGTCGTGGACAGGCGTTGGATGATGAACCACTATTTGTAAACGAAAGGACAAATTTCGAGCCAAAGGTACAGTGCCCGAGGTGGGGATTAAGGAAATGTGTGGAAGCTTACTATGGAATTAATTATGAAACCATTGTCATTATTAATATGGAATTATGGAATCGTTATGGTCAGTTAAATTATTCGTATGGAATTGGTTATGTATTTTGCATTAATTCTAGGGAATTTCCTGGCGGTCCAGTGGTGAGGACTCAGCGCTTTCTTAGTTGGACCCAGGTTCAATACGTGATCAGGGAACTAATATTCCATAAGCCATGCAACTGTGGCCAAAAAAACCTCTGTTTTTTCATTCTGTTTATTGCCTAATGATTAGGAAATGTGCAAAGAGTGCTGAGAAAGTTTTTAACATGTGGAGAGGCTCCAATCATACAGTCTTGAATCTCTTTTAATGTTTACCTTGACTTGGGAGTTAAGTAGATAGTAATGGCCATGAAGTTTCACCAGGGTCAGATGAAGAAATGCTAATTCCCCCCTTTTTTTCTTATTAAGATGTATTTTTTCATTTTTTTACAGCATACTTTTTTAAGTTCATACTGTGTGCGGAGGTTGACTTGGGTGAAGGGACTACTTTGTGAGTACATAAGGAGGAAAGAAACCACAAAAGAGAAAATAAATAAATATGAAAATGTAAATCCTCGTTGAATTAAAAAATATACATGAATAAAATTTGAAGGTACATGAAGAAAAACATTTGCAATATGCAACAAATTTACTGTATAAAGAGATCTTATAAATTAGGGAAAGATCTAACACACTGATAGAAAAATAGGCTTATGATACATTTTAAATAAAGAACTAAAAAAAGGCAGTACGTGCATGAAGAAACAGTCAATTTTTTGGCAATGAAATGCAAAATATAGCAGTAAAAAGGTCCATTGTTTTTCTAACAAAATTTTAAAACATTAGGGAGAATGAAAATGTTGATGACAGAGAGGACAGGGAAGAATGTAAAATATCGATCGCAAGCTTTCTAGAGGTTAGCTTAGGGGAAAAAATCCAAACATGTTAGCACTGTTCGTGCTGTGTGACCTAGTAATTCCTCTGTCAGGAATTTATTCTTTCGAAATAATCAGGGACAAGCACAGATATGGGTAAAAGAGTATAAGGTTCAGTAGTGAGATGTGATAAGGGAAATGAGTAAATCAGTAACAATGAAATATGCTGCTAGACTTTATATTGTCAAATGCATACCATGTAATTTAAAAAGTAGGATTCTAAACAAAATATAGCATTCCAATTTAATTGTTAATGAAAAATCTATATGCAGGAAAGACTGGAAAGAAGTTTACAACATTGTTTATCAGCAACTGCTTTTCCTGGAAATGATTTGAATGATGAGTGGTTAAATTGTATTCATTTTTAAGATTTTTTTTTAATGAACATGTAAATTGTCTTTGCCTCCCATATGTTTCTAATTCTCGGCATATAGTATGAGCTTAAAAAAATGAAAAATTACATCTTAATAAGATAAAAAAGGGAAATTAGCATTTCTTAAAAGTCCATCTAGTCAGGGCTATGGTTTTTCCAGTAGTTATATATGGATGTGAGAGTTGGACTATAAAGAAAGTTGAGTGCTGAAGAATTGATGCTTTTAACTGTGGTGTTGGAGAAGACTCTTAAGAGTCCCTTGGACTGCAAGGAAATCCAACCAGTCCATCCTGAAGGAGATCAGTCCTGAGTGTTCATTGGAAGGACTGATATTGAAGCTGAAACTCCAATACTTGGGCCACCTGATATGAAGAGCTGACTCATTTGAAAAGACCCTGATGCTGGGAAAGATTGAAGGCAGGAAGTAAAGGGGATAACAGAGGATGAGATGGTTGGATGGCATCACCGACTCAATGGACATGAGTTTGAGTAAACTCCGGGAAGTTGGTGATGGACAGGGAGGCCTGGCATGCTGTGGTCCATGGGGTCGCAAAGAGTTGGACATGACTGAGCAACTGAACTGAACTGAATCTGACCTTGGTGTAACTTCATGGCCGTTACTCTCTACGTTACTCCCAGCACCAAACTGTATCCCTGTTCAGGAAAATCCATAAGAAAAGTAGACTCGGTTGTCATTTTCTGTGAAGGTCAGATACCAGGCTTCACAGCAGATTCATCAGATCCTGGCTCAGCCTTCCAACGTACTTGTAAAAAACAGTAGTGTTGTATTGGAAATACATTCCCTACAATGAAAGAATATGCAAATACCTTTTACTCTGAGTTGCTCAGCTTAATTTTTTTCTACCAGAATTAATGGCTATTTCTGAAAATTGTTACAGAAACCCAAATCATGCAAAGTAAACAATAGCCAATTCTCTTTTCATTGAGAAGGCTCCTATTTTTTGGCGTGAGATACAAGTTGGATTTTGAGGCAAGTGGTGATTACTGTGTTGTCTTTCACATCCAAATGATTTTGACTGTTCCTTTGCGATGAGGATGGTGAAAGCCCTAGCTCACAAGAGTAGGATATAGCAAACAGAATTGGAACTCTGTTTCATCTATTTGACAGATGCTGTTAGACAAAGGGAGCCCTGATCCCATCAAGGGATATTGAACCTAAGACCATTTGCATTGAATTCAAGCCAAATCCTTGTCTCTGTCCTCAAGTTAGTCATTCCCTTTCCGTGACAGTGGCTCAGCTGGTTAAGAATCCGCCTGCAAAAAAAAAAAAAAAAAGAATCCGCCTGCAATGCAAGAGACCTGGGTTTGATCCCTGAGTTGGGAAGATCCCCTGGAGAAGGGAAAGACTACCCACTCCAGTATTGGCCTGGAGAATTCCATGGACTATATAGTCCATGGGGTTGCAAAGAGTTGGACACGACTTAGTGACTTGCACTTTCACTTCCTGTGACCTAGAAGGTGCTGAAATGGAGCACTCTGAGTTGAAGATTGAAAGGAATCAGTATCAACCCAGGCAAAAATCAATATGTTGGCTACAATTGCCTCAGATGTTGAAATAACTCATTATTTGCTAGTTATTTCAGTACCTTGTTCTAATAAAGTGTATCGATCTGAGTTTGTCTTGCAACACAAATAAACAAAAATGTCCATCCAAATCATTTAGCCTAAGGGTGAGGAGAAGGATATTATCTGATAATTTTCTAAATTTCTAAATAAATTTTCTAAAATAAGAACATTTATTTATTTATTTATTTATTGCAATAAATTCAGGCAGTATTGAAGTATATAAAAGAAAACTAAAATGAGCTTTCCCATTCTGCCCATCTCCTAAACCCCTTCTGTAAGTCACCCACATGCACAAATATACACACATATGTGTATTTTTTTGTTTATAAAACCAAGACTGTAGTATTGTTGTTGTATGCATATGTAATAATTTATTTACCCGTTCCTTTAATGGAATTGTAGGTTTCTAGCTTTACCCACCATTGCAACATTCTGCCTTGTAATACCTTTATACCCTGGCTCAAGTTTATATACCAGTTAAAATAAATAGCCTTTTAAAGTTGTGTCCCAGGATAGCTCTTCTAATATTAGATAACTTTCCAGAGGCGTTCAGCATTCAGGTAGTAATTAGTGATAATTTGGTAATCTCCTGTGAATAATCCTAGTTTGAGACCTTGGACAAAGTAAGCATTAATCACCTAGAATTCTTGAGAATATTTTTTTTTTTAATGTGGCTTAACTTCTTAATGTGGATTTAGGAAGAGTTATAGATATCCAATTTCCTTACCTTGTTCAGCCTGTGCTCTACTCTGGAAACTAAAACAGATAATGCTTGCCTTGAAGGCAGAAAGATTGGATTTCGAAAGAAGGGCACAGGGCAGAGGCCATGACTGATCCAGGGGAACTCCTTTCCATTTTACTAATCAGATTAGTTCTTCCTCCTAACTCAGGGAAACTTGGTTAGACCTGGGCTGAAAATGTGTGTTTCAATTCTTTCCCCTCCTGAGGAGGGGAGAAGTTTCCTTTTGGAAGCAGAAGCAGAAAGGAATAACAGTATTCCTAACAATATAATATGTGCTTTGTTGAAAATTACACATTAATGTTGATAAATTGAATTCTGTTTTAAAGTTAGTCTTGTCTTACAAGAAATTCATGGTGAATTTAATACTTGTTTTGTAAAGCTCTCAGATTACCTACCAGAATTTCCAGAAGTTGTCTGCATATGGAATTCACTAAATTATAACCTAAGCTTGAAAGATAGTTTTTTTTTAAGTGCCTTATTTTAATATGGAGAAACTACCTCCTGGTATACAACTAGCTCTGGCCAAAATGCAGAGCTGTTTTACTTCTTAACGTTTCTAAATGTCATCTGTTCCATATGTTAATATTGAATGTGTGACCTGTTTGTAGTATAATGGTTATAACAATGATAGGGTCCCAGTCCTCCAGGAGACGAAAGTGAGTGGGAGGAGACTGTGAATTATCCACTACAGGCTTAGATGCTCTATTAGTGTAAGGGATACAGTGGGCTTCCCGAGTAGTGCTACAGGTAAAGAACGCGCCTCTCAATGCAGGAGACATCCATGTAACAATTAAATGCTGTCCTCATACATTTTGTTTCTACATATGTGATAAAGCCTACAATACATTGTTATCATTTTTACTTTAAACAGTCACCACCTTTTGCAGGATTTGAATAGAAATAAGAAAAGTCTTCATATTTATTTACTCACAGAGTGACCATTTCTGGTTCTCTTTCTTCTTTTCTGTAGATTTAGATTTTCAGCTGGTATCATTGCCTTTCTGCTTAAAGAACTTCCTTTAATCTTTTTGTAGTGAAGTTCTGTTTTCATGAATTCTTCTGAATATTGTATGTGTGAACAAATCTTTATTTTGCCCTTATTTTTTATATTATTTATTTAAGTATTTAATAGATATATATATAGTTTAACAAAAGTGGGAACATTAATATATTTAAGGGAGGAGAAAACACAATGGCAAGCAGTACATGTTTCAAACCCCAACTGATAACATCAAACAATTCCGACTTCATTTTAGTGGATAGCAGCACCATTCATTCTTCCTGAAACTGGAGTTTAAATCTGTTTTCACTGGGTAAGAGTTCTAGGTTCCAGAACGCCCATCTCCTCTCCCCACCCCTCGTGCTTTCAAGTACTTGTCTTGTCTTGCATTGTTTCTGAAAAGAAGTCTGTCTTTCGTGTGTCTTGTGTTCTTTTTCTCTGGCTGCTTTTAATATTTTCCACTGTGTCTCTGGTTTATTTATGTTGTCGGTGTTACTCCTGGGTCTCTTTTTATTAATTCACTTCTCTCCTCATTCTGGGTTGTATTTCCTTGCTTCTTTGAGTACCTTGTGGTTTTTCGGTGGATGCCAGACATTTGAATTTTACTTTGTTGGAGGCTGTTTTTTTTTTTCTTTCTTGATGTCTGATCTTATTTATTTGTTACTCTTAGAACATCTCATTTTTGACTGGACTCAGAAGTGGAAGCTCCCAGAGAGGACCGCCTCCCTCTCTTGGCAATCTGTTCCTGCCGTTTTTCTTTGGCTTCCTTCAATCTCTTGACCAAAAGTTTAGTATTCTGCAGCCTCTTCCTTATTTTTCTTAAGTACACTGTTTCTTCAGAGCAATACGCCTGTGTGTGTGTTGCAGAACACGGGGGGAGCAACAAGATGTTTAATCTTGGGTGCTTGGGTCCTAGGTAATTATGTTACTATTATTGTATGGTTATTTTTATAGTCTTGCAAACATTGCTGAACTTTGTTCTGTGATGTACTTAACTTGGTAGCAGTTTGATACTTTAAAGAGGCTTGCTTTCTGTTAAGTACTGTCCTAAACAGGCTTTAGTCCAGGATTAATTTTGCTTCACTCTTGAGGCCATACCCTCTGGGTACTTTGCTTAATACCTTGTCAGAGTTTTTTTCCTGGTTGGAACACTAACTTTTGCCTAGTGCTGGACAAGTGTCAGGGTTTGTTCCTTCTGCTTATTTTGGTTGGTTCTTTGCCCAGCCTCAGATTGTGTCTTTTCTCGAAGATACCGGTCAGTGCTCAGTTGAAGATATGAGGGAACTCTCGAGATCTCTGGAGTTCTGACCCTGTGTATCTCCCTTCTCTCTCTGTTCCTCTGTAATCTAGCTGTCTTAGCCTCCCCAGACTCCCAGCTTCATCTCTTCTACCCAGGAGCCTGCCGGGCTCTGAATGGATTCTTCCTGTCCATGCTGCAGTCTGAAGACTCTCTCTAGGCAGCAATCTGGAATAATAATAGGGCTCACGTTGCTTGTTTCCTGTGTTTACAATCACCGCCCTGTGCTCCCTGATATCCAGTGCCTGGAAATCTGCCTGGGTCCAGCCCCAGCAGTATTCAGGGGAACCCTCAGGATGAACGGCGTCGGTGGATGAGAGGGCAAGTGAGACAAAGCTCGGGGCTAAGTCTGAAGTTTATTTTTGCACGGCTCCTTTATACCCTTAACAACATCTTTTGGGGGAAGTGCATATTGCTTACACACAGGTCATCTCAAAACATTATAGAAACTTGACCTTCAATAGAAACTGGATGTCACCCACATACTTTTTCGTTCACAAGAGTCTTTCTTATCATTTGGCCTTTAGGCCTGCTAACATTTAATGGCTTGCACCTGGTGTGACTTAAGCAACTTCAGTAGCAGACCCTGTTTTTCTTATAATTAATCTATTTTCTTTCTAATAAGCGTCATCTCTATGGGAACTAAACAGGATTACATTTTTACAGAACAGAAATGCGAAGGACTGCAAAAACAGCAGTTATGGCACAAAACAGGCTCTTAGTCTAAAAGTTAACTACCTGCAAGAAGTCGCCAGCTAATCTCTATCTAAAGTATTTTCTATTAGGCACATTTGTGGCTATCATATTTGTGGAGCTTTTCTCACCCCATGAAGGGACCTATGCTTAATAGTTTCTTTTGTTAGCATACTGTGCTTAGGATGTTTAGAACAATCAAGAGCAGTTTTTGCAATGAGAGCACATATTTATCACACAAACCAGAATGCCAGCAAAAGGGTTTGAATTGAAGCATTTCCTTCATCCCTGGCCCCTTCATAGGGTATCAGCGTCCAGGAGATTTATTAATTAGGGTTTTAAGTTGGTCTTTATTCAATGAAAGAGGAGCAGGAGAGCTTTCGGCAGGCAACACAAGAATCCGCAGCAGGGCAAACAAGAACCATGGCAAAAAGGGGGGAGGATCCAGGCTGGGGTAGAGGCCGAGGCCAACCTGGAGGGTCCCTTATCCTAGACGGCCTTGCCGTCAGGTTTTTTCCTCATGACCTCGTCATGAATGGGGTCCCGGACGGCCTTGCCTGCCCGGTATTTTCTTCATGACCTCATCACGGGCAGGCCCCCCCATAACGGCTCCTGGCAGAAATCCTTGTTGCATGTATTTGTTCAGTGTTTTATTTATTCTAGTTGCTTTGTTTGAATTAGGATCAGTTCAGTTCCTATTACCATAATAGAAGTTCTCATTCATATTTCTATTCATATTCGTATTTTCTAAACATTTTTGCTTTTGGAATGTAGACAACTAATGAAAATATATCAATACTTACTTGTTCTTTGACTGTTGTCTCCTCAGGATGTAATGTGGTCATTGCGTCCCGTAAGTTTGATAGGTTAAAATCTGCTGCAGATGAACTGAATGCCAATCTGCCTCCTACCATCCAGGCTCAAGTTACTCCCATAAAATGTAACATCCGTAATGAAGAGGAGGTAAAGCTAGTCTTTTTTTTTTAATTGAAATATAGTTGATTTATAATGTCATGTTTAATTTTTGCTGTATAGCAAAGTGACTCAGTTTTATATAAATATATGTGTATGTGTGTTTATTCTTTTTCATATTCTTTTCCATTATGGTTCATCACAGGATATTGAATATAGTTTCGTGTGCTATATAGTAGGACCTTGTTGTTTATCCATCCTATATATAATAACTTACATTTGCTAATCCCACACTCCCAATTCTTCCCTCTTCCTTGGCAGCTACAAATCTGTATATCTGTGAGTCTGTTTTTGTCTTGTAGACATGTTGATTTGTGTCATATTTTAGATTCCACATATAAGTGGTGTCATATATTGTTTGTCTTTCTTATTTCACATAGTATGGTATTTTCAGGGTTCATCCATGTTGCTGAAAATGGCACTATTCCATTGTTTTTAATGGCTAAGTAATATTCCATTGTATGTGTATGTATATCTGTGTACATATATGTATATAATTTCGTATATACACGTATAACACATCTTTATCCATTTATCTGTTGATGGACATTTAGATTTTTTCAATGTCTTGGCTATTGTGAATAGTGCTGCTGTGAACATTGGGATGCATGTATCTTTTTAAATTTTAGTTTTTTGGAGGTATATGCCCAGAAGTTGGGTTACTGGATCATGTAGTAAGTCTAGTTTTCATTTTTTTGAGGAATGCAAATCTATCTCATCATTTATTCATTTGTTTTAATTTAGAGTAGTTGTCCCTAACCCTGACTGTGCTTTAGGTTTTGCCGTGGTAGCTGTCTTAGATGAGGTTCACTAGAAGCAGAGCCTGTGAAGGAGATTCTTGAGCTAATGATCTATTGAGCAAGTGGCCTCAGGAGAAAGAGAGGAAGGGAAGACATGGAGGGAAGCTAAGCAAAAACATTTTAGTCTGGAGGTTACATTTCATGCCTTCTGCCCTTTAACTCATTTTATAATGTCTATTTCATCACTCTCCAATATTCTGAGTTGGTTGTTTACAGATTATTACATATTATTGGATGAGTGATACTAATCCTTGGATAAATCTTGTCATCAAAATTCTAAATTTAGCATTATGATCTATGGGTATTGAAACTGGTGACATAGGATTTTCAGGTTTATTCATTGTGACTACATCTTCATTTATTGTGGTTCTCAGAGTTACTATTCACTGTGAGATACTGCAAGCTCTGCTACTCTCCTAAAGCAGATGATAAAGTCCAGGTAGCAAGTTAGTTATTAATCAGTTCACTCTTAAAATTTTTTTTGTTTGCTGGAGTATAATTGATGTACAATATTACATAAGTCACAGGTGTATAATATAGTGATTCATAATTTTTAAAGGTGATACTCCATTTATAAAGTTACCATAGAATATTTGCTGTATTCCCCATATTGTATAATATATTCATTTTACTTATTTTATACCTAATAGGGTATAGCTCTTAATCTCCTACCCCTACATTTTTGATCCCTGCTTCCCTCTTGACACTGGTAACCACTAGCTTATGCTCTGTCTCTATGAATCTGCTTCTTTTTTTTGTTATATTCACTAGTTTGTTGTACTTTTTAGATTGTACATATAAATGCTGTCATACAGTATTTGTCTTTGTCTGTAACTAGTTCACTTTCATTGTTTTTCTTTAGGTAAATAATTTGGTCAAATCCACCTTAGATATTTATGGTAAGATCAATTTCTTAGTAAACAACGGAGGAGGCCAGTTCTTCTCTCCTGCAGAAAAAATCAGTTCAAAGGGGTGGAATGCTGTGATTGAAACCAACCTGACGGGCACCTTCTACATGTGCAAAGCAGGCAAGTGTGGATCAGTAATCCAAAAAGTCAAAGTGTATTTATGTTAAGATCATAGGGCACCTGAAAGAGAAATTGTTAGGGGCTCAGAAGCTCCATGTCACTTATTGCCCTAATTTAACTTATATGCAATATAGTCATGTAAATTGATACATTTCTGGAGAGTAATTTGGCAGTGTTTTAAAAATATGAATTTGCTTGATCTGTTGATTTTATTTCTAGGAAGTTATCATGTAAAAATGATTAAGAATTTGTACAATGATATAGCTACAAAGTGCATCATTAAATTAAGGAAAGCTCCATACTTATTTTGTTTTTAAGAGATGAATCTGTTAAATCTATTGTAAGGACCTATTAATTCCATGAAACCTAGGAGAATACCAGAGTCCACATTTTTTCTGACTAATAGGTAACTGGCACACATGCATAGTTTTTGGATCAGAGGTTATCTTTCATAGGTGGTAATATTCAACCCTGAAATTGGATAACTGAAGAGTTTCCTTAGGAGCTATTCAAGACATTTCTACGCTGCAAAATGTGAAATGAGTATAATTCTGACCCACAGGGTCTTCACCCCAACATGGATTAGGCTTTATATTCTTAGTACTTCCAAATCAAAGGTCTTGCAGACATTTTCAGGCTTTATCTTTATCTAACTGATAATGCAGAGTTCTGTATTAATTGTGATAACAGGCTTGACTGCTGAAGTGTAGAGATCCAGAAAAAAATAGGAGCTTGAATAAGATAGTTGATTTCTCCCTCACATAAAAATTCAAGGTGTATAGTCCAGGGATAGTATGGTAGTTTCATAATCATTAGGGAATAAGGATCTTTCTTGTTTACTGTCTTTAACATGTCCATCCCCTAGTCCAGAATGGCTGCTTCAGTTCCTGCCATCATAACTGCAATCTAGACAGCAGGAATTCAGAGAAGTGTAAAACTCATTCTTTTTAACTGCATGGTCTGGAAGTAGCACCATTCCATTTACTGACATTCAGCATCAACTAAAACTCAGTTAAATGATTATACTTACCTATAAGTGATACTGGGAAATAGAATCTTAAGCTATGTGCCTAAGTACAAATTCAGTGTCTTGTAAGAAGAGGAGAATGAGTGCTAGGAGACAGGTTTTAGTCTCTTAACTCAGCCTTCATAGTTCAGCGCTTTGACATCTTCCAGCACTCAAGTCATCGATCTCTTACAGACCTTAAGTTCCATTAATTAGAACCTTTCAGAGTCTAGATTCAGTTATGATTTTTACTAGTCAGAATTAAATTAAAGAATCCAAGGCCTATAGTTTTTATTTTGTGTTTACTTTAAACAATGGGACTTTTGGTTTTGACAGCAAAGAATACGGGACATATATTTTTCTATACCAGAATAATAATAGTGAAAAACTGAAAACGATTTAAATATTTTAAAGTAAAATATTAGTTGAGTGAAGTTTTATACATCTGTAGCATAGAGTACTATGCAGCCACTGAAAATATAGGTACAAAAGTCTACTTCTCAATATGAAAAGATATTCCTAGATATCACTGAGTGAAAAAAAAGGTTTAAAACATTCTATCCAGTGTGATCACATTTCTGCAGAGACAGTATATATTTTTATATGGCTGTATATAAATAGACATAATTCTGAAAGAGTTTCTAATAAAGCATTGACATCTCTGGGAGGTAAAATTGCATATTATTTTCATCTTTTTCTTTTTGCTTCTCTGCTTTTTCTGATTTTTCTAAATTGAATGTGTATTGTTTTATGTAATTAAAATGATTTAAGTCATGACTGCCCTGAAGTTCCAGCTTCTTCAGCTTGTACTCTTTGACACCATATGCTGCTGTTAAAAGAATTGTGGGAAGATCCACGTTTAAATTTCTGGTGAATTTAGACTTTTCTATAACCTTTAATTATTCATTTTACTAAAATAGAAATTTTTTTCTCTCCATTTATTCTTGGAAAAATTTTGAATATATGAAAAAGTTAAAGAAATAATGCAATGAGCTCTTCTAAGGCATATTTTTTATTTTATTATATATAAATATATGTTATTATGTTTTGTTTTATTGCCCATCAAGCAAATCTGTCAGCAATGTTTTTCTAACAGCTTTTGCTTACTTTGGGTCTCTGTGTCATATTTTGGTAATTAGCACAATATTTCAAACTTTTTCATTATTATACTTGTTATGATGATTTGTGATCAGTGATCTTTGATGTTACTATTGCAAAAAGATTATGACTTGCTGAAGGCTTAGGTGATGGTTAGCACTTTTTAGTGATAAAATATTTTTAAAATTAAGGTTGTACTTTTTTTTTTAGACATAATGTTGTACATTTAATAGACTATAGTATAGTGTAAACATAACTTTTATATGCACTGGGAAAGAAAAAAAATTTGTGTGATTCACTTTATTGCAATATTGCATTATTGTGGTGGTCTGGAACTGAACTTACCCTATATCTGAGCCCTGTCTGTGTACCTTTCATTTAAATTCACCAAGTGCTAAGATTTTGCTGTATTTACATTCTCTAATCTCTGTGTCTTTCCCCCTCTCATCCTCCCTTCCCCTCAACCCCCCACACCCTTTTTACAAATAATTTAAAAGTGAATTGCATACATCATCACACTTTGACTTACATTTTTAAAGAATAAAGAAATGTTTTCTATGCAACTGCAATACCATTATCACATCAAAGGAAATATACAGTAATTCGGTAAGATCAATTATCACATAATCATATTGGAATTTCCCTTAAAGTCTAGTAGTGTTGGCGATATTATTCTGAGACTTACGGTGTGTAGTGTGGGATAAAATGAGTAAATCAGTTCAGTTCAGTTGCTCAGTCCTGTCTGACTCTGCGACCCCATGGACTGCAGCACACCAGGCCTCCCTGTCTCTGTAAATAAGTTATTTTAGTACAATTGGAGTGAATGTAGACAGATGAGGCTGAATAAAAACCCCTGTAGTCCGGAATTTGACTAGAAATACTGTCCCCTGAAAAGAAACAGTTATTAATTCAGTGACAATGCGTCCTCCTAGCATCCTTTATGTGATCTCTGAATGTTACTCCAATTAAAAGGAACTGGGATTCCTTAGTGAAACAGCTTATTGCAGGGGAGGAAATATGCAAGATAAGCCTAGAATATTTTGTTTTAACAGAAATCTAGGAAGCTATATGAATATGTTACTGAACCAAACTTGGATCTGCTCGCTTGTGTGTGTTGAAGCCAGGCAACTGAACGTTGGGTTGCAGTGAAGGAAAGTATGGGGAGAGTGAGCAGCTTATGCTCAAAAGATGTGAACTCCCTAATCCTTTCAGGGAAGGGTTTTGGGTTTTTTCCCCGTAACTTTGTTTATGTATTTATTTTACTTTTGGCTGCCCTGGGTCTTGTTGCTGCTCCGGCTTTTCTCTAGTGTGGAGAGCGAGGGCTGCTCCAGTTGCAGTGTAAGGCTTCTCATTGCACTGGCTTGTTACAGAGCACAGGCTCTAGGGCAGCGAGCCTCAGCAGTTGAGGCTCCTGGGCTCGAGAGCACAGGCTCAGTAGTCGTGGCCTACCAGCTTTCGTTGCCCTGCAGCCTGTGGGATCTTCCCAGGTGGGAGGTGGAACCCATGTGTCCTTCGTTGGCATGCAGATTCTTTACCACTGAGCCGCCAGGGAAGCTTCAAGGGAGAGATTTTAAAGTCAGTGTTAGGGAGGGAACTGCAGGGCAGATGATCAGCTCATGCACAGTTTTCAGCTTGGTTGGTGTCCAGGTGCAGTTTTGAGCATCACTGATCTTTTGGTTTCAACCGGTCTAGTGTATGCGTGCTTGCAGTCAGCAGTTTTCATCTGGTGGGGGTCTTCCTATAAAAACAACTTAGGAATGTGTGTCAAGCCTTCATCTGTATCTTTCAGGGAACTGAAAGTTTGATGACTCTGCTATGTATCTGATTTATAAGTTTTTATCAGTTTCCCAGCCCAACAGCTATTCTTTGTTTCTACATCTTCACACTTACTAATTATTAATTCTTTTTTAAAAAATTATTTGTTTATTTTTTTGGCTTCATTGGGTCTTAGTTGTGGCAAGTAGGATCTTTTAGTTGCGGCATGTGGAATCTAGTTCCCTGACCAAGGATCGAACCCAGGCCCCTTGCATTGGGAGCTTGGAGTCTTAGCCACTGGACCAGTCACTGAGTCATGTCCAACTCTTTGCAACCCCATGGACTATAGCTCACCATGCTCCTCTGTCCATGGAACTCTCCAGACAAGAATACTGGAGTGAGTTGCCATTCCCTCCTCCAGGGGATCTTCCCAACCCAGGGATCAAACCAGGGTCTCTTGCACTGTAGGCAAATTCTTTACCATCTGAGCCACCAGGGAAGCCCAGCAGAAAGTCTATATAGGGTAATTTAAATAAATTTATTTTCCTTTCTTGTGCTAATAGCCAGTAATTTTATAATTAAAACCATATATTTGATACATGTATACTGCTTTATTTTCATTTCCAAACTTTTCTTGGCTATTCATGACCATTTATTGTATTCAGATAAATTTTATATATTCATACTTCTACAAAAATCCTGTTGGGAATTTGATTAAAATTGTATTAAATTTATTAGTCACGTGGAAATAATCAGCATGTTTAAGTATCGTCTCCTCATTATGTCTTTTCATTAATGAACTCATATATTTTGGCAAAGGTTTGTGGTTCTTATAGATCTCATATGCTTGTTTTTATTAAGGTTGAAAAGTGAGTGTTAGTCACTCAGTCTTGTCTGAATCTTTGCGACTCCATGGACTGTAGCCCACCAGGCTCCTCTCTCCATGGATTTCTCAAGTAAAAGTGCTGGAGTGGGTAGCCATTCCCTTCTCCAGGATCTTCCCTACCCAGGAATTGAACCTGGTCCCCTGCATTGCAGGCAGATTCTCTACTGTCTGAGCCCACTAGGGAAGCCTGCCTAGGTGTTTTTGATGGCTATTGCTATTTTGAATGGGCTCTTTTTTTTTTTCCAGGTATTTTCAACTGGATTATTGTCAGTTTACAGAATTTTTCAAATTTATTTTGTTGCTTTATATAATGGTTTGTCAAATTAGTCTGTTGGGTTTTCTAGGTATATAATCAGGCTGTCTGAAAATAACTACTGTGCTATTTCTTAAAGTCAAAAGATGTAGCCAGTTGTGAAATGCATCATCATTATACATATTAAGGAAGTAAAAGCAATGTAATTGTAATTGTAAGATGCCACCAGCAGTAAGACATATCCTAATTTCAGCAGTTTGAAAATGGTATGAAAAAATTGTCTTAGATTTTAAAAATATTATATTTTATGTTTTCTTGTGATTTTACCTCTTTTTTTTTGTCATGTGTTATGATTTGGTGAGACTACTAGAAAGCATTACATAATAGTGGGTAGACATGCTTACTTTTGCTCAAGCTTTTAATAGAAATAGGTATTGAACTGTTCTCTGATCTTCCCATTCTAAAAACTGGACTTCCACTGAAGTGCATCCTGATGTGCATCTCTAATATTGCCTTGATTCGTGTGAATAGAAAGTTTCCCTGAATTTCAAATTGCCCTCAAAAAGAATAAAATATTTACAAATAAAGTTCGCAAAATAGTATAAGGTTTATATGCTAACAACTGTAAAACATTGCTGAAAGAAATGAGACAAGATATAGATAAATGGAAAGACATTTTGTGTTTATGAATTGAAAGACTCAGTATTGTTAAGATGGTAGTTCTTTCCAAATTGATCTGTAGGTTCAATGCAGTCCTTATCAATCCTTTTGCAAAAATTGACAGACTGATCCTGGAATATATATGGATATGCAAAGGACTCAAAATAGCATAGCCAAAGCAATTTTACAAAAGAAGATATAATTCTTGATTTCAAAACTGTTTATTGATTTTAAGATGAGACAGTATAGTACTGGCATAAGAATAGATGTAAAGATCAATGAAACAGAATTGAGAATCCAGAAGTAAATTCTTATATTTATGATCAATTGATTTCCATCAGAAGTGCCAAGGCAGTTCTGTGGGGAAATGATAGTATCATCAACAAATGGTGCTGGGAAAGTTGGATATCCACATGCCAAAGAATCTTACCTCACATATTAAATAAAAGTTAACTGAAAGTCCAAAATTAGGATCATGTACCTAAATGCAGGAAGTAAAATTATAAAACTTTTAGAAACAATTAAGGGAGAAAATCTTTATGACTTTGGGTTAGGCAGAGTCAAAAATACATCCATTAAATAAAAAATTGTAATTGGACTTAATCAAAATTAAACATGTTTGTGCTTCAAAGACACCAATAAGAAAATGAAAAAATAAACTATAGACTGGAAAGAACGTTTTCCAAATCACATATCTGATAACAGACTTGTATCCAGAATATACAAAAAGTCTTATAAAAGCAACCCAAATGAAAAAAAAAGGCCAAAGATTTGTATACATATGTCACCAAATAAGATATATAAATGGTGAATAAGCACATGAGAAGATTCTTAACACTGTTTAAGTCATTAAAAAAATGCAAATCAAAGTCTCAGTAAGATACCACTGTATACCCATTAGAATGGCTTTAACCAAAAAGCCAGATAATTTTGTGGAGAAACTGGAACCCTCATGCATTTCTGGTGAGAATGTAAAATGGTGAAAACACTTTGGAAAACAGTTCAGCAGTTTCCTAAAAAGTTAAGCGTAGATTTAACATGTATGCGTGTTTGTTAGTCACTCAGTCGCGTCAGACTCTTTGAGACCCCATGGACTGTAGCCCACCAGGCTCCTCTGTCCGTGGAATTTTCCAGGCATTTGGTTGTTACTGTTCAGTCACGCAGTTGTGTCCAACTCTTTGTGACCCCATGGACTGCAGCACGCCAGGTTTCCCTCTTGTTTCCCATCCACCAGAGCTTGCTCAAACTCATGTCCATTGAGTCGGTGATGCCATCCAACCATCTCCTTCACTGTTGTCCCCTTCTCCTGCCTTCTGTCCTTCCCAGCATCAAAGTCTTTTTCTAATGAGTCAGCTCTTTGCATCAGGTGGCCAAATTGCTAGAACTTCAGCTTCAGCATCTGTCCCTCCAATGAATATTCAGGATTAATTTCCTTTAGGATTGACTGGTTGGATTTCCTTGCAGTTCAAGGGACTCTCAAGAGTCTTTTCCAGTACCATGGTTCAAAACCATCAATTCTTCAGTGCCTCAATAAATATTTTTATACAAAGAAAATATAAATTAGGATTTAAAAAATATCATATAAGCAGCAAGCTGGAATGGTATCAGGGAAGAGTCAAGCACTATTTAATAGGGCTTCCCTTGTGGCTCAGCTGTTAAAGGATCTGCCTGCAATGTGGGAGACCTTGGTTCGATCCCTGGGCTGGGAAGATCCCCTGGAGAAGGGAAAAGTTACCCACTCCAGTATTCTGGCCTGGAGAATTCCATGGAACATGTAGTTCATGGGGTCACAAAGAGTCAAACACAACTGAACAACTTGCACTTTCACTTTGTTTTCACTTCAATGCTCAGCCTTCTCTATGGTCCAACTCTCACATCCATACATGACTACAGGAAAAACCATAGCTTTGACTATATGGACCTTTGTCAGCAAAGTAATGTCTCGCCTTTTAATATGCTGTTTAGGTTTGTCATTGCTTTTCTTCCAAGGAGCCAGTGTCTTTTAATTTCATGGCTGCAGTCACCATCTGCAGTGATTTTGGAGCCCAGGAATACTGGAGTGGGTAGCTATTTACTTCTCCAGGGGATCTTCCTAACCCAGGGATTGAACCAGGGCCTCCTGCATTGCAGGCAGATTTTTTTACCATCTGAGCTACCAGGTCATATACAGATTTAGCATATGACACAGCAGTTCCACTCGTAGGTATCTCCCTACTAGAAGTAAAAACATATGTCCACACAAAGACTTGATTATTATTCATAATCACTCAAAAGTGGAAACTGTCCAGTTGTTCCATCAGTTGGTGAATGGGTAAATAAAATATGGAATGTGCACACAATAGAATACTGTTTAGTAATAAAAAGTAACATTTTTACTTTTATGTGTTACAATATGGAGTTTAGTTCAGTCGCTCAGTCGCGTCCAACTCTTTGTGACCCCATGCATTGCAGCACGCCAGGCCTCCCTGTTCATCACCAACTCCCAGAGTTCACTCAAACTCATGTCCATCGAGTCGGTGATGCCATCCAGCCATCTCATCTTCTGTCGTCCCCTTCTCCTCCTGCCCCCAATCCCTCCCAGCATCAGGGTCTTTTCCAATGAGTCAACTCTTTGCATCAGGTGGCCAAAGTACTGGAGTTTCAGCTTCAGCATCAGTCCTTCCAATGAACACCCAGGACTGATCTCCTTTAGGATGGACTGGTTGGATCTCCTTGCAGTCCAAGGGAGTCTCAAGAGTCTTCTCCAACACCACAGTTCAAAAGCATCAATTCTTCGGTGCTCAGCTTTCTTCATAGTCCAACTCTCATGAACCTCCCAAAAACTATTCTGAGTTAAAGAAGGCAGACACAAATGACCAAATATATGAAATATTCAGAAAGGGCAAATCTATAGAAAGAGAATGTAGGTGAATGTTTGCTTGGGGATGGGTTGAACTGCAAATGGTCATAAAGGGACTTTTTGGAGTGACAGAAATATTTGAAAACTGGATCGTGGTGACATGTATTTATTAAAAACTATTAAGGCATACACAGAAAATGGGTGAATTTTATGTTATCTATATGTGCTGCCAAAGCAAGCACAGAATTTTATGATATGTAAATTATACCTCAATCAATATTTTTATAAAAAGAAAACATAAATTAGAATTTTAAAAATAAATAAGCAGCAAGCTGTAACAGGGTATCAGGGAAGAGTCAAGACACCACTTAATAGTTTTGTCTTTCTGTCTCCTGCAGTTTACAACTCATGGATGAAAAAACATGGAGGATCTATTGTCAATATCGTAGTACTTACTAAAAATGGATTTCCCGGAGCTGTGTAAGCACTTACATTTTTTCTTCCTATGTCTTTGGGTTTGTCCGTTGAATAGCTGGGGAGTAGGTAGAGCGATTTTCCTAAGTAGAGATCGTTAATCCCTTTAATGCATTGTGACTTCAGTACTTAAAATTCCATTTATTGAACTTTGAAACATACTTCTAAAACATGACTATTCATATTAGGGTTACCCAATTTTCCAAGGAAGTAAGAACAGTAATAGGCCCAGTTAAGTGATTTTTTTTATCAGTATGTCCAAATATCTCATGGAGCATTCTTATTGTGTTTGTTTGTTTTGTCCACACAGTGCACTTGTGGGTTTCTAATTCTCTCACCAGGGATAGAACCCCTGCCTTCCTGCAGTGGAAGGGTGGAGTCCTAAACACTGGACTGCCAGGGAATTTCCACATGGGGCATGCTTATGCTAAAAATGGTCTGTTGTCTCCTGTAAAAATTCACATTTAACTGAATGTCTTGTATTTTATCTGGCAGTCCTAATCCAGATGTAACTAAATGTGTCTGGAGACATCTTTTTGGTTAAAATGAGGAAATGACACCAATCTATGCTAATTTAGTTTTGAGCATTGTGGATATACCTATCCAGATTAAAATAGAACTGCCAATAAATTATTGTTCCGTAATAGAATTTGACCTATTTGACTCTTATTCTGATTTTGATAAGTTTTTATTTTGGAAAATGATTTAAAAGTTTTTTTTAAACTTTTTTATTTTATATTGGTTTATAGTTGGTTAACATTTTTTTTTTTAAAAGAAAGTGAATGAACAGCCTACTGGCACAGTTGATTCTTTCATAATAGCCTAAAAGACTACTCAAAACAGAAAGTTGAAAAACAACATACCAGGAAGCTACTTGACCAAGTTTAGTTGTTAAAGAGTATGATGTTTTTTAAAAAATGAGTTATGCTGATTTTTTTTGTATCTTGTAATCTCTGATTCTTTCCAATTTTTTAAATTAAAATTTTATAAAAAATTTTCCAACATAGAATTTGTTTTTGTGAAGTAGACCTATCTTAGTATTAAATTATGCATGCTAGTTTAAACAAACAACTATATAATGTAGAAAGTCAAGTCCTCCGTAGTCTTTCATCCCAGAGATAACCTGTTAATTAAGTAAGATGGTGATCTTACTTCATTTAATTCCTCTACAATTAGTAAGTAATTGATAAGGCAATAATTTGGTACTGTGTTAATATTGTTTGCCATCATGATTTTAGCAACCACTGTTGACCCTTTTTGGAGAAGGCAACGGCAACCCACTCCAGTACTCTTGCCTGGAAAATCCCCTGGTAGGCTGCAGTCCAGGGGGTTGCTAAGAGTCGGACGTGACTGAAGCGACTTAGCAGGAGCAGTTCACCCTTTTGTGAATCACTCATTACACTGGGGCTGTGAAAATGTTTGGTTTTTCTGGTTTCATAATTGCTTCTATGCTTTTTAGTTGATGGTGCAGGGCTTAGTCAGTCCTGTCCGACCCTTTGCAACCCCATGGACTGTAGCCCACCAGGCTCCTCTGTTCATGGGATTCTCTAGGCAAGAATACTGGAGTGCATTTCCTTCTCCAAGGGATCTTTCCAACCTAGGGATTGAACCTAGGTCTCCTGCATTACAGGTGGATTCTTTAGCTGATACTCTTTTGTAGAAAGACTTTTGTTTACATTACGACCATCACTTCTTTAATATATGTTATTATAATTATTAACTTTTTTGGTATACCACTATGAAGTCACAGACTTCTTTTCAAATTGATTGTTTCAAATGTATACATTGTCTCAAATTTAATAGAAATTTGTGTTGTTTCTATGTTTTGCTATTATAATTCTGCAATGTGTAACATTATAAATACTTCTTTCATATTTGCAGAGGTATATCTTCCGGGTGGGCTTCCCAGGTGGTGCTAGTAGTAAAGAACCCATCTGCAGATGCAGGAGACATAAGAGATACGGGTTCCATCCTTGGGTCAGGAAGATTCCCCTGGAGAAGGGCATGACAACCTACTGTAATATTCTTACCTGGAGAATCCCATGAACAGAGGAGCCTGGTGGGCTACACCCCATAGAGTCACAGAGAGTCGGACACGACTGAAGCGACTTAGCAACAGCAGCAGCAGCATCTTCAGGGTACATCCCAGAAGTTAGGATTGCTGGGTGAAGGGTAAAGGCATCCTCTTAGGCATTTGCAAGTTTCTTTGTGTTTTGCTGTCGCATCAGCAATGATTGAGAGTGCCTGTTCCTCAGAGCCTCATGAAAGGTGTGTCTTGTCAATTTCTGGACAACTCTGATGGTCAAGATATAGTATCTCAGTGGAGCATCTTTTCATTTGTTAAAACGCTACCTGAGTATCTCTTGTTTGTGTGTTCGAGTTGCATTGTTGTTTTCACACATGCTTCTCTGGTTCTGATCATTTCTTGACATTTTCAGTGTCATCTAAGAGTAGCCCAATTTCCATTACAGTCTATGCAAAGCAGCTTAGACTGACCTACTGATCTTTTGGGTCCTTGTTAATAATTACCAGGGGAAGAGACAGGCCAAACAACAACTTGGTATCTCTCATGGAGAGAGAATTCATGGCCCAAATACCTACCAATGAATGAATGAATAAACAAATCGTGGTATAGCTATATAATGTATTCCTCAGAAATGAGAAGTGAACTATTGATTCATGCAGCAATGTGGATAAATCTGAAAATAAATATTCTGAGTGAAAGAAGCCAGATGGAAAAGATCATGTATGTATGATTTCATTTATATGTTTTAAGGTTTAGAAGGATTTAAAAATTTTGTTAGTGCTAGATTCACTGAGAGTTGGATATTATTTTACCTCCTATTCATTAATTACAGGAAGGAAATGAAGCAGTGTGATAGCCTTTAAGGTGGTGTATCACTCATAATCTCTTCCTGCACAGGTTGGTAGACATTTTAATTCGCATCTGATACAGAAATAAGGCCTTAGTGTTTCAGAAAATGTTCTCGGTGAAAGAATGGCTATGAGGCTTGTTATTCAGATGGTGAAACGAAATCTCACAGAACTTGTAGATCAGATAAATGCCCTTCCTTTCCTTCGTTCTGGGCTTTTGCTTTAAAAGAAGAGTGGCTGGAACAGTGCCCATATAACATGGTCACCAACCTGCAGCTGAATTGTCCACCATCTGTTCTGTTTTGATGGGGGTCACTTTCCCTTCCTGGAAAGGGTGTTTTTAAAAACCCTGTGGTCCATTCAGGTGTCTCACCCACCTGGAACTCCCAGCAATGTCAGTCATAACATAGGACTACTGGTGATGCTGCCAAAATCTTACTTTTCTCTGTCTGTTGAAGCTGAAGAAAAAAATACAGAGAGTTTAGAGGAAATAGAAAGGTGACTTTAATCCTCAGCCAGTGGAGGGGCAAACACAGTAGGCTTATGCCTCAAGAGCTGTGCCCCCGCCTTCCTAGAGGAATCTGGGGGATTATATAGATGAGGGCTACCAGTCAGGGATCGGAGATGAGGAATAAAGGTATAAGGATCTTGTATTCTTCTTCCTTTTGCACTGTTTCAAAAACAGTCATAGGTTGGCATCAGATAGCCCAGTAATTGGGTCTGGTAGTCTGGTAGCCTGGTGGTTGGATCCATTGTCTTTTGTGAACTGTACTCCGGCCCTCTTTTTATAATGCAAAAGAGAAAAACCACAGGGGGTGGTTGCAAGAGACTTCTGTGCAGGTGGCACCAAATTCAGGATGTAATTAGCACAGAGTTAAAGGACAGCAGGTGCAGAATGTGGTCCACGCAGAGTTAGGGGGCAGAACAGATTCAGTTCAGTTCAGTAGCTCAGTCGTGTCCGACCCTTTGCGACCCCATGAATCGCAGCACGCCAGGCCTCCCTGTCCATCACCAACTCCCGGAGTTTACTCAAATTCATGCCCATTGAGTCGGTGACGCCATCCAGCCATCTCATCCTCCATCGTCCCCTTCTCCTCCTGCCCCCAATCCCTCCCAGCATCAGGGTCTTTTCCAATGAGTCAACTCTTCACATGAGGTGGCCGAAGTACTGGAGTTTCAGCTTCAGCATCAGTCCTTCCAATGAACACCCAGGACTGATCTCCTTCAGGATGGACTGGTTGGATCTCCTTGCAGTCCAATTAGAAAGTTAAAGTAAAAATGAGGAGTAACCAGGTCTGTTCACTGTTCTCTCCATCTTCTTTGTTCTCAGGAAAGGAAAGAAAAACTCACTCTTTTTTCCCTTCCTTTTCACTGCAACACTGGATAAGCAGTAAATCTCTCTGGATAAACTCTCTGCTTTTTCTTCACAAATGTCACCATTTTTTTTAATCTCCAGAAACAAACAGATTAGGATGTGCTATTTCAAGATCCAGAGTAACTTTCAATTTCTGTGTAGTTTTCTTCAGTGCCAAATACTGCAGAGGAAGGGCATATCCTTTCTTCCTTATGGACCAAGCAGAGAGCTGGGGGCTTCAGGCTGTCGTACCTGTCAGAGGTGGTCTCACCATCCGGCAGCAGTTTCCCTCCTGACATCACATTCTTCTCTGCCAGCCTCTTCAGTAGATCTTTGAGTGTGGAGATGTGGTCTGAAGATGCTGTTGTGTTTGCACTGAGTCTGTATTAGATGTCCTTCTCTTCATCAGCTAACCTTGAGAGAACTATGCAGGGGAGGAAAAATAATTTTCCCTCTGCCCTTCTGAGCTCTTAGCTAAGACCCCTGTAATAAAAGACAAATGAACAAGAGAAAAACAAACAGAAGTTAATTCACATGTGTACCTCATGTATACACGGGAGCTACCCAGGGAAAAATGAGTAACTGCCTGTTGGGGCTTTGAATTTAGGATTAAACACTATCTTAGTAGGGAATGGGCTTCCCTGATATCTCAGTTGGTAAATCATCCGCCTGTAATGCAGGAGACCCTGGTTTGATACCTGAGTCCGGAAGATCCACTGGAGAAGGGAGAGGCTACCCACTCCAGTATTCTTGGGCTTTCTTCATGGCTCAGCTGGTAAAGAATCTGCCTGCAATGCGAGAGACCTGAGTTTGATCCCTGGGTTGGGAAGATCCCCTGGAAAAAGGAAAGGCTACCCATTCCAGTATTCTGGCCTAAAGAATTCCATGGACTGTATAATCCATGGGGTTGCCAAGAGTCGGACATGACTGAGTGACTTTCATTCTCACTTAATAGGGAATGGGGAGAGGGGTTATAGGCCTCTTGGGGTGGGGAGTAGATGATCTTTAGGAAAGATGGATGGGCCCTTTGAAGAATAGATGGGAGATATGATAGTTGGTGACGATGTTTGTCCGGATGTGTTGACCGCTAGTCTCCCATCCTGTGACAACAGTCAGCCTTCCCTGGTTGATGAGACTCCCGGGGAGGGGATTTATGACACTTGGTTCCATTTGGCCAATAAGGGGAGTTCAAAGAAAGCCCCTCTCTGCATCTGCTGTTTTCAAGGGACCCCAGCTGAAAATGATCATTCCACCAGAGCAGCAGCATACTTTGGGGGGTGTATTCTGCTACCCTTCAACCACCTCTTGCTCACATTCTGCAGACTGCTTCCGGTGCTGAAATTCAGAGTACTTTCTGTCTCTGCTCTTCCATCTGCTTCTCTCTCTCCCCCAACCCCCACACGCCTCTCTCTCAGTTTCAGGGGGCTGTTCACGAGTCTGGACCTTCTGTGGTGGCCCTGGTGGTCAGGGGATGAGGACAAGGGGACAAGCACCTCTAGGTCCCGCTCACAGAAGAGGGCCCGGACTTGACTGTGCTTCCTGCAGACGCTCATCTGTTCTGTTCCCACCTCTTGCTTCCAGTAGTGTAAAGCAAGACAGTAACCCTGTGACCCTGCCCAGCTGGGAGGTATTCCAGAAGGGCCCCTCCTAGCATTGGTGTCAAGCAAGGAAACCCACTGTGTGAATTCCCCCAGGGACGGGTGGATGTAGTGTGACACAGGTGTGGGCTGCATTTGATGGTGATGAGGTTGCTCAGGTAACTCTGGCAGATGGGAGCTGTTGGCTTCTGCCTGGAGTCCTGCTAGGGCTTCTGCAGCTGACACTGGGGTGGGGGTGGGCTTTCATCAGGAAATTGGGGCTCTAGAGGTCATCTCTAGTGAGGAGTGGTTACATGCTTGGTTCTGACGCTTCATAATTGGAAATTCTAAGCCATAGTATGTCTCTACCTTTTGCACCATATGGGTGCAGACTGAAATATTTTGAACCTGTTCCCTGGAACTATCTTAAGATTTATTTAAATTTTGATATGTCTAGAAGTTATTTTGACATTATTTCTAGCCTGACATATGAATTTCATATACCTTATTACCTGAAATTGGTTTAAAGAATAACCACACTTGTAACCCTCCAAATTACCAATTTGTTTATTTTCTTTCATAATCAAAAGTTCCTCAAAATATTTCTGTTTCGCATGTGGGAATTTGGGGGGGATCTTGTGTGGGCTTTGGGGCTTCCCAGGTGGCACAATGGTAAAGAATCCACCTGCCAGTGCAGGAGATGCAAGAGACGCAGGTTCATTCCCTGGGTCAGGATGATCCCCTGGAGTAGGAAATGGCAACCCACTCCAGTATTGTTGCCTGGAAAATTCCCTGGACAGAGGAGCCTGGAGGGCTACAGTCCATGGGATCCCAAAAGAGTTGCACATGACAGAGCATGCATGCAGACAGGGAGATGTGGGCCTTGACTTATGTGAGATTTGTTTGACTAGCAGTTAGCTATGGTTTCATATTAATATTGAAGGACCTGGTTCTTTTTTATAGCTCAGACAGGGACTCATAATAAGAATGTTCTTGTGGAACTCTGACCGGTCACTGGTATACCTATCAGTTTAGGTGATATGAGACATATCCAATAGAAACTAATGGTGATGTTTGTATTTTGTCTTTTAAAGGCATAGCGGAGCTGCCAGAGAAGGTGTTTACAACCTCACCAAGTCCTTAGCTGTGGAATGGGCCAGCAGTGGAGTAAGGATCAATAGTGTTGCCCCTGTACGTAAATGTTCAATATGAAAGCTGTTGACAAATTGTGCTTTTCTGATTTCATTTGTGTTGCTCATAGAAGTATTTGTTAATATGTATGTATACTAGAAAAGATTGACCTTTAAAAATAGAATCAGAAAGAAGTATTCTTTGATTTACAGTCAGATTGTCAAGAAGGTTAAATTAAGTGATTCTCAATCCTGGCTGTATACGAGAATCTGTGAAATAGTTACAAACTAGTGATATATAAGCTTGAAATGCTGGGCTGGATAAAGCACAAGCTGGAATCAAGATTGCCGGGAGAAACATCACTAACCTCAGATAGGCAGATGGCACCACACTTATGGCAGAAAGTGAAGAAGAACAAGAGAGCCTCTTGATGAAAGTGAAAGAGGAGAGTGACAAAGTTGGTGTAAAGCTCAACATTCAGAAAACTAAGATCATGGCATCCAGTCCTATCACTTCTTGGCAAACAGATGGGGAAACAGTGGAAACAATGTCAGACTTTATTTTGGGGGGCTCCAAAATCACTGCAGATGATGATTGCAGCCGTGAAATTAAAAGACGCTTACTCCTTAGAAGGAAAGTTATGACCAACCTACATAGCATATTTAAAAGCAGAGACATTACTTTGCCAACAAAGGTCCGTCTGCTCAAGGCTATGGTTTTTCCAGTGGTCATGTATGGATATGAGAGTTGGACTATAAAGAAAACTGAGTGCCAAAGAATTGATGCTTTTGAACTGTGGTGTTGGAGAAGACTCTTGAGAGTCCCTTGGACTGCAAGGAGATCCAACCAGTTCATCCTAAAGGAGATCAGTCCTGGGTGTCCATTGGAAGGACTGATGTTGAAGCTGAAACTCCAATACTTTGGCCACCTGATGCAAAGAACTGAATCATTGGAAAAGACGCTGATGCTGGGAAAAATTGAAGGTGGGAGGAGAAGGGGATAACAGAGGATGAGATGGCTGGATGGCATCTCCAACTCAATGGACATGGGTTTGAGTAGATTCCAGGAGTTGGTGATGGACAGGGAGGCCTGGCGTGTTGCAGTCCATGGGGTTGCAAAGAGTCAGACATGACTGAGCGATTGAATTGAACTGAACCCAACTATGGAAACCAGGTATTGGTGCTTTTAAAAGCTGGTTCATTTTCTCAGTGAAGGAAATTCAGACTGAGTCAAGGTTGAGAATCGCTGCTTTAAGGAATGAATTTTCCTAGATTATCTTTGTTATTTCTTGGTATGTCATTAATTCTTTATTAGGACAGAGAGAAGTTCAGTTCAGTCACTCAGTCATGTCTGACTCTTTGGGACCCCATGAATCGATGCCAGGCCTCCCTGTCCATCACCTACTCCCGGAGTCTACCGAAACCCATGTCCATCGAGTCGGTGATGCCATTCAGCCATCTCATCCTCTGTCGTCCCCTTCTCCTCCTGACCCCAGTCCTTCCCAGCATTGGTCTTTCCCAATGTATCAACTCTTCGCATGAGGTGGCCAAAGTACTGGAGTTTCAGCTTCAGCATCAGTCCTTCCAATGAACACCCAGGACTGATATCCTTTAGGATGGACTGGTTGGATCTTCTTGCAGTCCAAGGGACTCTTAAGTCTTCTCGAACACCACAGTTCAAAAACATCAAATCTTTGGCATTCAGCTTTCTTTATAGTCCAACTCTCACATCCATACATGACCACTGGAAAAACCATAGCCTTGACTAGATGGACCTTTGTTGGCAAAGTAATGTCTCTGCTTTTAAATATGCTATGTAGGTTGGTCATAACTTTCCTTCCAAGGAGTAAGCGTCTTTTAATTTCATGGCTGCAATCACCATCTGCAGTGATTTTGGAGCCCCAAGAAATAAAGTCAGCCTCACTGTTTCCCCATCTATTTCCCATGAAGTGATGGGATCAGATGCTATGATCTTAGTCTTCTGAATGTTGAGCTTTAAGCCAACTTTTTCATTCTCCTTCACTTTCATCAAGAGGCTTTTTAGTTCCTCTTCACTTTCTGCCATGAGGGCGATGTCGTCTGCGTATCTGAGGTTACTGCTATTTCTACCAGCAATCTTGATTCCAGCTTGTGCTTCTTCCAGCCCAGCATTTCTCATGATGTACTCTGCTTATAAGTTAAATAAGCAGGGTGACAGTATACAGCTTTGACATACTCCTTTTCCTATTTGGAACCCATCTGTTGTTCCATGTCCAGTTCTAACTGTTGCTTCCTGACCTGCATACAGGTTTCTCAAGAGACAGGTCAGATGGTCTGTTATTCCCCTCTCTTTCAGAATTTTCCACAGTTTATTGTGATCCACACAGTCAAAGGCTTTGGCATAGTCAATAAAGCAGAAATAGATGTTTCTCTGGAACTCTCTTGCTTTTTTGATGATCCAGAGGATGTTGGCAATTTGATCTCTGGTTCCTCTGCCTTTTCTAAAACCAGCTTGAACATCTGGAAGTTCACGGTTCACGTATTGCTGAAGCCTGGCTTGGAGAATTTTGATTATTACTTTACTAGCGTGTGAGATGAGTGCAATTGTGCAATAGTTTGAACATTCTTTGGCATTGCCTTTCTTTGGGATTGGAATGAAAACTGACCTTTTCCAGTCCTGTGGCCACTACTGAGTTTTCCAAATTTGCTGGAGAGAGAAACTTCAAGTCAAAGTTCTAGGAAGGAATTTCTAGTTGAAGGTCAACTGAAAGTCAGGGGAAAACTTCTCTGAAACATAATGTAAACAATAGGGGAAAAAAATTACTGTATGTTCAGCTTCAGAAACTGTCACATTATGTTGGGCTTCCCTGATAGTTCAGTTGGTAAAGAATCTGTCTGCAATCTAGGAGACCCTGGTTTGATTCCTGGGTCAGGAAGATCTCCTGGAGAAGGGATAGGCTACCCACTGCAGTATTCTTTGGCTTCCCTTGGGGCTCAGCTGGTAAAGAATCCACCTCCAATGTGGGAGACCTGGGTTTGATCCCTGGGTAGGGAAGATCCCCTGGAGAAGAGAAAGGCTACCCACTGCAGTATTCTGGCCTGGAGAATTCCATGGACTGTATAGTCCATGGGGTCATAGAGAGTCGGACATGACTGAGTGACTTTCACTTTCATGAGACGTAACTTATGCAGTGAAGATCCTTCATGCTGTAGCTAAGACCCAACACAGCCAAAATAAATAAATAGTTTCTTTTTTAAAGTTATAACTTTAAGCTTCCTTGGTCCTTACACGTCGACCATGTAATCCAAGAGGGATCATAAATGAGACATCGCACATATCCTGTAAAACTCAGCTGAAATTAACTTTTCTGTGATGATTCCTGGTCATTGCTAAGAGAGTCATCATCCCCCAGTCTGGGGGTATTACCTATGGATCTATTAATATCTATATAGTTATGGATAGATAATATATATAGATAATATCTATAGATACTGTTATCTATGCCACTCAGTGGTAACTAAGCATGAGCTGACTTGTGGATGTTAGAGAGATCTTATCTTTAACAAATGCAGGTTCTAGCCAGAAGCTTCACATCCTTTTAATCCTTTGGAGCTGACATTACAACAGATTGGATAGATTTCCATTCTGAGTGTTGATTCTTTGGCATGTTGGTCTCCACATATGCATTTCTGGACAACCTTTAATGATGTGTTGATGCTTTAACCATAATACTAAAGTCACATTTGTCCTCCAGAGATGTTTTGGGGTTTAATGTCTAAACCTTAATACCTCTGGAACATTCCATCCTCTTTAAATGAAAGCCTGAGAAATTGTTTAATCAGAAACCAGTATATCACCTCAGTATTGTTCGGAGTAATTAATACTGCAAAGTTTCACATCCCTCCTGTCTCCTCCCCTCCTTCAAATAATCAGTTGTAGTTATGAGCCAATAACAAGCAGCTTTATCCTGTGTTAAAACAGTTTTTAAGTAATTTTTTTCTTTATAAACCATTGAAAACTACTAAAAGTTGAATAAAAGAGTTCTTAAACAATTAAAAAATTTTTTTGCCTTTATTTATTTTTTTTCATTTATCTTTATTAGTTGGAGGCTAATTACTTCACAACATTGCAGTGGGTTTTGTCATACATTGACATGAATCAGCCATGGAGTTACATGTATTCCCCATCCCGATCCCCCCTCCCACCTCCCTCTCCACCCGATTCCACTGGGTCTTCCCAGTGCACCAGGCCCGAGCACTTGTCTCATGCATCCCACCTGGGCTGGTGATCTGTTTCATTATAGATAATATACATGCTATTCTCTCGAAACATCCCACCCTCGCCTTCTCCCACAGAGTCCAAAAGTCTGTTCTGTACATCTGTGTCTCTTTTTCTGTTTTGCATATACGGTTATCATTACCATCTTTCTAAATTCCATATATATGTGTTAGTATGCTGTAATGTTCTTTATCTTTCTGGCTTACTTCACTCTGTATAATGGGCTCCAGTTTCATCCATTTCATTAGAACTGATTCAAATGAATTCTTTTTAATGGCTGAGTAATATTCCATGGTGTATATGTACCACAGCTTCTTTATCCATTGCTGGGTCATATGGCAGTTCTATTTCCAGCTTTTTAAGGAATCTCCACACTGTTCTCCATAGTGGCTGTACTAGTTTGCATTCCCACCAACAGTGTAAGAGAGTTCCCTTTTCTCCACACCCTCCCCAGCATTTATTGCTTGTAGATTTTTGGATAGCAGCCATCCTGACTGGCGTATAATGGTACCTCATTGTGGTTTTGATTTGCATTTCTCTGATAATGAGTGATGTTGAGCATCTTTTCATGTGTTTGTTAGCCATCTGTATGTCTTCTTTGGAGAAATGTCTGTTTAGTTCTTTGGCCCATTTTTTGATTGGGTCATTTATTTTTCTGGAATTGAGCTTCAGAAGTTGCTTGTATATTTTTGAGATTAATCCTTTGTCTGTTGCTTCATTTGCTATTATTTTCTCCCAATCTGAGGGCTGGCTTTTCACCTTGCTTATAGTTTCCTTTGTTGTGCAAAAGCTTTTAAGTTTCA